TCTACCAGTTCCACCCATAGCTCCATTTCCTACTATTCAGTAGTTTATGGAAGGGAAGAGTCTCACAGACTTTCCTGACCTGGCTGGCTTTGAACTGCAACCCCCAGATCTCAGTACAATGAGTAGCAGGATTATGTGTGTGTGTCACTGGCCCATGGCTTTCTGATTTTCATGATCCTGTCTCTGTTATAGAGAGATTCCCAACCCATACATCCTGTCGTCACCACCAATAAATCTAAGGATTTCAATTGTACTGTGGATCCCCTAAATCTCTATCTCTTTGGCCTGTCTTCAGTCTGGGGTTCCAAGTCCTGTCTCAGGCATCAGCCACACAGCTTTGAAAATCTCTACTCCCCAGCTCTGAATTCAGCTTGGAGCTCTGGGACCTGTGAGTGTGCCCAGCAGTGTGTGCCCTGTCCTTCCCGGCTAAGGGTGTTGCAAGGTATGAGGGGGGGGATGAGATTGAGTGGGAAAGTGACACATTAACTAAATAGGAGCAAAGGCCTCCCCTTCTATCCTCAAAAAGCCTAAATGCACACTGCCCCAGCCATCCCTGCCTGTCGGTCGCCTCCACCGCCACCATGCTGGGCTCAGGCATACTTCTGGCGGCGATCCTGGCCTGCCTGAGCACCATGGTGCTGATGTCTGTCTGGAACCAGAAGTTATGGAAGAAGCTGCCTCCTGGCCCCACCCCACTGCCCCTCATTGGGAATTACCTTCAGCTGGACACGGGAGACATGTACAATGCCCTTATGAAGGTACGGCCTGGCAGGGAGAAGGGTCACGCCTGGAAGATATAGAATTTGCCTCCATTTCACCTGGCTACATTGGCAGAATATAGGTAGGGTAAACCAGAGGGTTAGCCAGAGTTTGGCAGATGGATGGAACCAGGAACAACCAGATCTTTGGATGTTCCATTCCTTGATTATCAACATCAGATTGAGTGGGGCACCATTTATTTGATCTCATGCCTGTGTAATTCTAGCAACTCAGGAGGCTGAGATCTGAGGATTGCAGTTCAAAGCAGCCCAAGCAGGAAAGTCCCTAAGACTCTTTATCTCCAGTGGACCACCAAGAAAGCCAGAAGTGGAGCCATGGTTCAAGTGGTAGAGCACCAACCTTGAGAGAAAAAAAGGCAAGAAAGATGGGGTTGGAGGCATGGCTCCATTGGTAGGGGGCTAGCTAATAAGTAAATGAAGCAAGTACCCAGTTTGAGTCCCAGTCTCAGACCAAAAAAAGAAAAAAAAA